CGTGCCCGAGATTTTCAGGCTGCCATTTTGCATTTGGATCGAAAGGCCGTCGAGTGCACGAGCTGCAAAGCGGTTTTTGGTAAGTTTGAGCTTTTAAAACCACAACAGTGACCCGAAATCTGCTCGACTAGCTTCAAAACACAGTTTTCCACAAAAGCTGCGGCCATTAATGGGTTAATCAATTCCTAATAATGCTATTGATAATGATAATGAATTGATTGTCAGGACAAGGTATGGGAAAGAGTTCATCACCAATTCAAACATTACACCTTTATATATTCATTACCAACAAAGTCACTAAGTAATTTGTCTGGTCAAAAATCATAATCAACTTAGACATATCAAGGTTAAATATGCATACTTTGGTTTGAACTTCAATATCATATGCAGCCTTCTTTAACTCATAATCTCTCTTGGCTTTAGCAATCTCTGTATCATTCTCATATTTGGCCCTCTGCCTTGCCTCCTCTGCCAGAGCTTCCTATAATCATGACAAATAAGTTAGTGACCGAGTGCGAGGTTGAGATGGCTGGATATGGGCCAAGCTCTTTTTTTGTGTTGTTATGGACTGAAACGAAGTTGAGGTGCATAAATGAACAGAGAGAAAAAAAGAGGCTAATTCCCGGCCATCTTGATCAATCTTGCTTGGTCAATAAAGGATTAATAATAAAGCAGAAAATTTTTGATATAACAGGAATCAAGAAAGACTTGTTTATTTCGAGAGCCGGTAAAGAAATCAAACATTGTTTGTGGCACAACAAACCCATGAGAGTTGTTTAATTTATTGTTAGTTCTTTGCTTTTTTGCCAATCCATTGTTGTCCTTGTCAAAAGATCATGAACTTTGCAAGTCTTCACCACGCAATCAGTACATGGGATTGGCTTCATATTGCCAGTGCACATTGTCAGCTGTATTGTAATTGATAATATTACCTGATTAGCTCGAATATTCAACCTTGGTTCTCTCTCACACTGGATGTCCCTATAGCACTGAGGCCTCTCCCTTGAAAAAAATTTTCTGTTCAAAAGTTTTACCTTAATTCCAGAATCTCTCTTAGCTTCAGCCTCACCAATTCTGGCATCTCTCTTAACTTGTGCAGTCCTAGCCATACCAAGGGCAAGCAGATATCCCTGTCATGAAAAATAATAAAGTTTCACTACCTGACAAACTCCTAAATATAAATACAGCTGTTATGCTGAATTTCAGACCAACATTATGCCATATAGATTCTATAGATACATTCAGACACAGAAATATGTGAAGCAACATAAAATTCCATTTGTGGGAGCTGTTTTTAGCCTTCATTATATGTACCAGTAATTATAATCACTGAAAGAGTTTGTTTTGGACAATGAGAAGATATTATTTGGTGAGATTATTGTTTAGCTAAAGATTAATTGCAAGAGTTTTTTTACAGCACTGGTTCTCCTAGTGCTTAAATTATGATATTTACTGTAAAATATATCAATCACTGTTGACATGTAGATCATACTTCATCATCTCGAATGTCCTTTATGGTGTAGCTTACAACACTGACTCCCATGTTGACCAAATCAGAGGATGCCACCTGAAAAATGGACAGTCAAAAATTATTTGAATACATGTAATTCTACTAAGCCAACATGAGACTCATGTATAATAGAAGTGAAAAATTCCAACTAAAATGTAATATAATTGTACTAAAGGTGTTGGTCTTCACACTAATAACAATATTTCAAAATCTACAACCAAGCAAAACAATATGTTCTCACAAAGAAAACAAAGAATAAGTTGCCCTTTGTTTACCTCAAACACACTTTTTGAGAACTTCTTTCGATCTTTATAGATTTCCTGTTTGACAATTCACAAGATTAGTCAAGTCATTCTTCAAGTTACAGCAACTGTACTGTGCTTAGTTCACCACTCACAAATTACAATCTATTTAGTTTTTTATATTACTGTTAACATGTCATTCCAGAAAATAAACAGGAGGTATTTCTACAGTCAATCCTTGTGATTCTGGGTGGCAATACATTTTTAACATTATTTGACTACCACTACATGTACCTCCATGTTTTAATCAAGTGCTAAGCTACATTTTGCATGGTGTTTCCAACACTGACAGCTTTTAAAGAAAAATTAAGTTACTATTCACATTATCTTTACCTCCACTGTCATGGTACCCATGATAGCTCTTTGATGACCTTCCTATAAACCAATGATTGAACAGATTATGAGTTTTACATAACAAAGGTTTCTGCCTTGATTCAAACAAGTGCTTTAATAAAGTTAAAGGTGGGATCACAGAAACTAAGCCATTCAGTCTACTTCTGCAAAATCGTATCTCAGAATGATTCACACAGAGTCATGTATCCACTCACTTCACAAATAGTGAACCCTGAAAAAGCTACAAACTTAGACTATTGTTGGAGTCAATTAACAAAGCCATAAAATCTTGATATGGCTCTCACAGGTAAAGAGTACTCTGTTTTATCCAAATTCACACACACTTTCTGACAATCTTACCAGTGTTTCCAAGGCAACAGCACGCACTTGTTCTTGAGTTTTTCCCAAAAACTGCTGACAGGCTGCATATAACATTTCCTGATTTTGGCCTTGAATCTTTACCTAAAATGACCAGACCCAATTTCAGGAACAAATTAGCCTAGAAACAGATATGATGATCAATTATAGATATTCCCCATGAAAATATGGAACTCTTTACATAGTGTAGCACCAGGTGATGTTCATTTTTGCATGTACATGGATTTGCTATCAATCCCGAGTTTAGCAAGACAGATTAGCAAAAGTGGAAAGATTTCTGTACAACTCCATACCAATCAAAAGCCATAGTCGCAAAGCAAATCTGTTGTTTTGCCTCTGCTTTCCTTTATCCAAGAACTGAACGCAGAATGAAGTAGGGGGTTATATGAAAATCTTGCCACAAAAGTTTCCGGCCTAATACCATTTTAAACTTACTTGAGCTATTCCTGTCACTGAAATTGGCACTCCATGCCTTGTGTAAACACGTGGGGATTCCACATTCAATGTCATTGTGTTGAGAGAGATCCTATACACACAAAAAAAAATTCCACAAGTGCACACTTGTACTGTTTATTCACAACTTATCTATTTTCAAACATCATTATTAAGAGACAGTCAGCTAAAAGCCTCCTTTAATTTGCCCTTTGAGAGAAAGTTTGCATATATCTATCCGTGTACTCATATTCACATGAGAATTACTACTGTACACTTCTTTGAGATAAGTCTGCTGATTTCTGTCGGCATTTTTTCTGGGAAGCAGTTCAGTGCAAGCTTCAGCTTTGTTAAAAGATACACTTTCACTTTGCCAACTGTTGATTTGAACGGGAATCATGACGTGAGTGTGCAATACTTGAAAAGGCACCCTGTGAGCCAACACTGATGTTGACATTAGAGTGTTTTGCTTGATGTAAACAAAAGTACGGTTGCTTGTCCACAGTTGTTTCCAAAAATATAGAAGAGTCTCAAACAAAAAGGTTACAGATTTCAACGCTGGTAAACAGTGAAGTGTATTCGAAGTTATCCCACATTCTTTCCAATCTCATGAAATATGCCACAGTCACGATAAGAATGCTAACCTCGGCTGGGAACAGACTCATCTGAAAGGAATCGGACCGAAAAGAAGAAATTGAAACAATGAATCTTACTTTTGCAGCTTTTGAATAAAGGGCCACACGAATATTCGACCACCAGAAACCAATGCTGATTTACGGTGACAAACCCCTGAAAAACGAAACGGAGAAATATCATCACGAACCTTCGTGATCATTGTTGCTCGAACGTAACGAAAACACCTGCAAGATACTCGATTAGATTCTACTCTTTCGGCTTCATGGATTTTGCTAAAAAGGCACAAATATGAATAAGCGTAATGACACTAAGATACCTGAAACAACCATGGCCTCATTTGGCCCACAAGTTTCAAAGAACACCATTTCGAAGTTTTGAACTACGCAGCGAAAGTTCCTCGTTCTTTGAGCACAATAGTATGGCGACGTAATCACGTGACCTTGACGGCTACGCCTCCCTAGCGCAGTCGATAACTGATAGAGCTAATCAATAATAGATCGCTACGAGCCCTTCCTTATGTGCTGACTTCGGGTCCACCCCGGGGTTTGATACCACGTGCCCTTCCACAAGTTGTCCTCTCTGTTCGTTTACTCGAGGTAAGATGGCGGCGAATTTTTGCGAAGGAACAATTTTGGATTTATTTAATTTCAAAGACTTTCCATTTAAAACCTTGATGGATTACAAAAAACACTGGTTATTTCCTTGTATATGGCATAGATAAACAAACTAAATAAGTCAATAAAGTTTTACTTTTAAGGGGATCGTTGGTCAGAGCTTTTCAGAATTCACTTTCCTGCCAATAGTTACTTCTGATCTAGACGCTCTTAGTGACTGATATAAGCGTATTGTATTCATCTTTCAATTCTATTGCTCTTCCAGTAATTTAAACGTGGTTTAATGGGGAATTGACCGTTCTTAGCCTGGTGTTATCCAGAATGCTGGGACAATAAGCTTAATTGTGAAGTCATTTAGTCTCTTCCTTCTAGCGGTGTAAAAAGCTTCTTCTTCTTTTTTGTTGCTGACTGCGGTTGATGTCGAGTTTTTCTTGCGTTATTCACAACGCAGACATAATCCAAGCGCAAGCACGAACCATACACTCTCCCAGATTAACTTCTTATTACAAGCAATCTAGGATTAACGAGAAGTAGAAGAGAACCTTTGATGTGACCCTTCTTCGGGTTGTACCGATGTCGTAATTTCCAGTGCACAGAAGTTGTGACCTGGAATTGTTGTCCTCCTTTATGACATAAACATCAAAGCATGTAAGGAGTCTATGTGCCAATAGGCCTGCACAAACATAAAGCAGGCTATAGTGTACATGGGAGGAACATCACAATTAGAATAGAAGAGTGGTAGGGATTGCAATGGGAAAAATGTTTTGGTTAAAAAAATTCTCAAGACACTTTCTTTCCCTCACAAGCAACCTTAGTATTCCTGGTCTACATACAGTATGTTCCTTTGTTTTTGTTTTGGGCTCTCACTAGACTTGTGCTGCTTGTGTTTATGTATGTGTTTGATGTGTCAAATGAATTGATTCAATCACTGTAATGTTCACTTCATTCAACTCTCACTATTACTAAGGTAATTTGGTTATATCAACCAAGTTGAAGTTGTAAATTGGCCACCATAAAGAATTGTCTTGTTCTTTGTTAGTGTCGTCATGTCTGAGGACTGGGGTGCTGCGGATGATGCTGCGCCAGTAGTAGTCGCACCTGAAGTGCAGGACATCAAACTGTTTGGAAAGTGGAGCACTGATGATGTGCAAGTCAGTGATATCAGTTTAACTGTAAGTGGGTTTATTTCTTTTGGTATCTGCTCGTGGTTGATAAGCTGTTAGCTTCATCAATGGCTTAGGGGATCATTTGTCAAGGAAAATTTCTAATTTTTGAGAATAAAACCTCCTGGCTTGTGTTTAGATGCTAATTAGCATTGCTGTATACTTGTGTGGTTGGTCCACTTCGATCAAGGTTAGGGTTCCCACCTCATTATCATAAACAAAGGCCAGCTTTTAATGCTGCCACTTCAGACTCTTGGCCTCCTCTGATATACCAGTTTTTTTTTTCGTGTGGAAGAGTTAATCACTTAAAAGAGCATCAATTAATCTTTCATATTGAAAGGTTTGGTATGATTTTGAATTTTTTCTTTCAATGATCAGGATTACATTGCAGTTAAAGAGAAGTATGCCACTTATCTTCCCCACACTGCTGGGCGATATGCCTCAAAAAGGTTTAGGAAGGCACAGGTAATGTTTGCAAAGTATTTGTTTACTTAGGTAGGTAGGCAAAGTCTGTTTACGAGCCAGTGGCCCATCTGGCCAGCGCTTTACTCCAGTTTCTTTAGTATGAAAAGACTATTAGTATTTCCACTCCCCCCTGGATGGGATGCTAGTTCATCGCAAGGTTACCCCCCAGCATTAAATTTGCTGGTACCCATTTAAACAACTGGGCGAAGAGAGGCACTGCGAGAGTAAAGTGTATTACCTAAGAACACAACACAATGTCCCCGGCCAGGGCTCGAACCCAGACCACTCGATCCGAAGTTGAGTGCACCAACCATGAGGCTGCTGCGCCTCCACTATTGTTTACTTAAGCAGACTGCTGAACAGTCTTCAAAACTGAGTTGAGATGAGCCATGTGACATTTTTCTACAAATTATAATAGAAAGTAGGTCAGTTATTTTAACAAGATCTTGCCATTTTTTTTTTCAATCTCTATCTTGATTTTTGTGAACAGTGGTCAACAATGTTAATAGCTGCAGATGGAAAAAAGTTTCATTTTTTTTTTTCAAACAAGCCCCATATAAAGAAATCCTGCACCACTTTGATTGTATGACACTATGGTGTTGGTAGACTGTTTTAAATGTCAGGCGTTGTGCTTTCTAAGTGAAATGTTTACCCCACGAGTTTAGTCTTAATCAAGAGCCTTGTAGTCTTGTTTTAGTGTGAGATCATATTTTCATGGGGTATTATATTATCCTTTTGCCTTATGAAAGATTGATGGGCACATTGTTGTGCTGTATAACATTTTCTTTGTTAGTGTCCTATCGTGGAGCGACTTGTCAACTCTATGATGATGCATGGCCGTAATAATGGAAAGAAGCTGATGACAGTTAGAATTGTGAAGCATTCATTTGAGATCATCCATCTGTTAACAGGAGAGGTGAGGGAACAACAGAAAATTCTTCTCAATTTGGGCTGTCTAGAATTTATCAACCTTCCCCCTTGTTAGCTGATTTTCTTGATACTGAGAAGATCACAGATTTCAAATACCATCATTTAGTGACATACACATACACATAACCACATACAAAGCTTTCAAGGGCGATACAAGGATAGGGGAAGTTCTTTTGTTAACACAAGCTGCTGGCAAGGGTTACCTAGGGCACTGCAATTTCTCCAAGCAAAATCCGCCATTTGATTTTAAATGATATTAAAATCTGGGAATCATGTGTTTGTAGGAGGTTGAGGAAAGCAACAGTAAGAAGTTGGAGAATTTGTAGACTTAAGTCAACAATTACATGGGTTTTAAAGTGAAAACTTCCTCTTCTGTGTAGAATCCTCTGCAGGTTTTGGTCAATGCCATCATCAACAGTGGCCCCCGTGAGGACTCCACCCGTATTGGTCGTGCCGGCACTGTGCGTCGTCAAGCTGTGGATGTGTCACCCCTGAGGCGAGTCAATCAGGCCATGTGGCTGCTCTGCACTGGTGCCCGCGAGTCAGCTTTCAGGAACATCAAGTCAATCGCAGAATGTCTTGCTGATGAGCTAATCAATGCTGCAAAGGTCTGAATTGGGTTAAATGCTGAGCGTCATGTAAATAAGTTTAACCTAACCAAGCCACTATGGCTGGCTTTTGACTTCAATACAAATTTTTCCAAGTCTTTTTGCTGCACTTCCAAGCCTTTATTTGCTACTACAATTTATGAACATTACATGAATCCTCCAGTTGGGGCTAATGTTTTGTGAATGCTTGATGATCTTCACTTGTGTGTCAGTTCTAATACCTATTTATTTTTTTTGTTGATTTTTCAGGGTTCCTCAAACTCGTATGCTATCAAAAAGAAAGATGAGTTGGAGAGAGTTGCCAAGTCTAACCGTTAAAATATCAGCTATGACAGGAGAACAGCATAATAAAATTTGTTTCTGAATGGATGACATTGTTTCCCTTTACAAGTTCACTGTTTAGTAAATGGGTTTTAACCTGGGAGTAACAGTTGATAGTGGAGTCTAATACTGGTATCTGGGAGAGCATAGCCTTGGAATATACATGTATAATATGGCCTCAGAGTTAGGACTCCTCATGCATCTCAACTTAGAGAGAATGGTCCATACCTCTTGCAGTCTCTAGTAACATGACTAGAAAAAAAAAATACTGTAGACAATAGAAGTTTCAAAACCACAGGATGTAGGGGAACAACGACAAATTTGTCAGGATGCTGAGAGCCTGCAAAAACCCAACACTAGCAGCAAACCATCCTGTAATTTAGTAGTGGGCCCCAAGTCACCTAACCTCTTTGCTTGAGAAGAACTAATATGTGAAGCTGTCACCCTGTACTAAGTAGTTGGTTTTCAAAGTCCAAATTTTTTTTCCCCAGGGTAACCCTTTATTACAGGGTTCGTACACATCTTGAAAACCCTTGAATTTCAGGAGGCCTATTTCAAGGCCTTGAAAGTACTTGAATTTCGTTTTGGGTCCTTGAAAGTCCTTGATTTTTTATTGAAGAGCATCGAAAAATATCTGCTTTTGTTTTGCACCATCCGTAAACCCAAAACGTAGATGTTAACAGAAACACTTTTCTTGGTTTTGAGGTAAAATTGTCATTACAAAAAGTCCTTGCAATTTCTAAGTAGGGTCCTGGAAAGTCCTTGAAAAGTCCTTTAATCTTTGGCCTGAAAAAGTGTATGGACCCTGTTATCAAGTCCAAATAGCCTTTTTGAATTATCCTCCCTCTTTATTGCGCTGTTACCTAAAGCAAGACCAATCAAACTAAACTAGAATAATCTTTCAAGTAAACATATATCCATGTTTATCTCACAACATTTATGTTCGGAGTGTTTTTCAGTGAGTTTTTGTGCATGGGTTAAAATGTTTTTTAGTGATTTTCATAACAGCCCTTTTAAGTGGAACCTGCAAACTGTTGCAAATAGCATGCATTGTAACACTAGTAAGTGTAAGGAGCAAGTTATGCTTAAGAAAGGCAATTCAACAGTCTACCCAATGTCTCACAACATCAAACAATATAATAACATTTCTTTAATGGGAGTCACATTTCAAGGTAATTGTAAGTTCAGCATGCATGTCAAGGCCAAGCTCCATGAAGC